ATCAAGTCTGATGAGATGTGTGTAGTGAGTTACTCCGTACCTCACCTAGGGCACCAGAATTCTCTGTGCTGGTTTTACGGAACCTCGTGCAAGACTCCTGCTGCACGTCCCCGTCGTGTGCCACGCTTAATGTCTCAAATGAGCATTAACAGAGCTGGCAATGGATCTCGAAGCTGGTGGCTCCCAGAGGTAGGATTTATTCTGACTCACATCAGCAGACCCCTAATGCATTAGTGAAAACGTCTATCAAAACTCATTTGGAACATGAGGACAATCTGCTTGTCGAATGTACCACTGAAACCTTTTGGTTAAAAGTGTCGAGTGAAAGGAAAGCTAACTCGGCCCTAGACCAGGAGATTTGCCCGCAGCTTAGATGAGCAACATCTCCTATGGGTGTTTTCTTGTGATAAAATCCTGTCTTTGTACATCCTCTGTCATCCCTCAACGTCGTCATCACCACGTTGAGATACACCATGACAGCCACTGACAGTCTGCTGGTTAGGCTCAAATGGCACACCTCAGTGTTTAATCGTCACAAATCCTACTAATTGGCAAGAAGGATTTAAATGTCCGTACCCACTGGCCTACTTGCCTGAGTGTTGGCACCAAACAAGGGAACCCATGCCTAGTGCATGCCTCTCCATACTGTTGTGCTAAGGGCACAGTTGAAACAACGTTAAAGGAATCTAACATGATGAAGAAGAATGTACCTCTTTGTGTGGTCATCAAAGTCATGGATCTGCGGGCTGCTCATCTCTGGATGGTGCAGCCCGTGACAAGTGGAAAGCTCAACATATAATTGTGAGGTTAAGCCGTCATGTGCAGGAGGTGATGATTCCTTGGGTAAGCCCAGGACCAGAGCATTATGTGTTAGTTTTGCATTCATGGAAACCTCCTTAGATGGTGGGGAATGCCCTTGATCTGCTCCTACCTTTCATTGAAGGCTGGCCAGTCTACACAGGGTTGCCCTACAGGGGTTCACTAAGGGCAGCATCTTTAGACAAAGAGGACACCACACAAATAAGGCAGCATCATGTCCCACAAAACAATGGCAACAGTCATCCTAGAGATAGGAAAAACATCTTCCTTCAAAGTCAAGAGTACATCTTCCGAAAGGTGGGGAGCAAGAACTGCACACAAAGTAGCCAGTAAAATGGATGTACACGCAAAACTCAGGTCCTGGTACAAAGACAGTCTTAAGTGGAAAAATGACCAGGACTTTCCGCCGGAATTCACAGCCAGTGAACAGAAAGAAAGAAAGAAGAAATGTAAAAGGTAGCCATCAGAAGTGCGAACAGGCCAGCACTAGAAATGCAGTTCATTTTATTGTATAAGGCACCACCATTTTGTTTAGTCTTTGAGGATCATTAAATTAATAAATGCCTTCATATACCTCTAAACCACAGGCATTAGACATTTTTAAATTAAAAAATATTAGAACATCAAAAGAACTAATGGGTGAATTTTAGTTTATTGTTATTGTACTCTGTATACTTCCTTCCATAGGTACTCCAATCTCCCAAATAAATCAGTTGGCTAACAGTGACACATTTTACCAGTGTGACATTTATTGATTAGCCTCCCCAGGCACTTGATGTGCTTTTCCTTCTCGGCCAAATTGATCTATGTCTAGGTTGTCAGTCTTTGGGTGACTTATCCTGACAATGCTGCTTTGTAGACAGTGTTTCTGTTCCGTGCTATCTCCCCAATGAAGGTTGGCTACAGTGTATCACTGCTGTTTTTTCTTGTTGAACATTTTAGCTGGTGAGGCCCTAGTCTCTTTCACAATGCAACTTTGTATAAACCGTCTAGTGAGGAAATGGAACCATAGTCTTCTTTTCTTCTGCCTTTCTATCCCCTAATGGAGCATAGGCCCTCAACCAACTCACGCCAAGTCGTTCTATCCTTCGCCATTGCATGGAGCTCTCCCCATGTCCTCCCCATCTTTCTAACTTCATTCTCCAGCTCTCTTCTCCATGTGTTTTTTGGCGTTCCTTTATTCCTATGCCCCCGTGGGTTCCAATGCAAAGACATTCTAGTTATACTGTTCTCCTGTTTTCTCAGTGTGTGTCCTATCCAACGCCAGCGTCTTTTCCTCACCTCTTGGTCCACTGGAGCCTGTTTAGTTCTCTCCCAAAGTTCTACATTAGTTATTGGAACCATAGTACTGGAGTTAAACACCCTCAGGCACCTGTAAGCTACAGAGACATTAGACATTTTTTAATTTAGAAATCTTAGAATACCAGAATATAACATGACATATTGCATTAGTATATGTTTACATTTGGAAGCCCAGTCAGTCATTTCAGCATCTGTAACAATTTTTCGGACACCAGCTCAGCATGTATTGCTTTTCCTCGAACACAGGCTTTACACAACATTTTAGTCCTAATTTTATGTAGTTTTTCTAATACATGTTTTAGAAACCATTGACTTGTTTATTAAATTTATGTATACTTATTAGTCGTTAGTTGAGGCTCCAGTATCACTAGACGGGTCACTTTATAACCATTCCTGTGCATAGGAAATTACATATGTACACCCATCACGAATATTATTATCAGCAGTTTTTGCAAACCAGCTTGTATCAACTTTACTGGATGTGCTACCTGGCATGCATCCCTTCCACAACCCTATGCTGTAGGCCTAACATCTGCCCAGTGAAAACACTTGAACTGGCCTCATCAAAATCTGAATTAAATTTACAGTCTCACAGTTCAACAAATTTAAATTGTTTGGCACATATTTTTTCACTGTTAGAATTTAAAGAAGCAATTTCTTGGGATGTTTTAGCCTTTTTTTTTTCTTGACACATATTTCAAAATATTATAAAAAAAATTGGCATCACATTTAACTTCTCACAGATTCTGTAAATAGTTAGTACAGATTAGCTTCAGGCTGTAAGATTTTTAGCTCTAAATCATGAGTTAGACCTATACTTACCTTACTTATTTTATACCGGCCATACAGTTTTTATTTTCAAGATGGAAACGATTGGCTGTGTTATTTTTTAGTAGGTGTGATTTTTCTCAGATTGTTCAGTTCCCTTGTAATATCTCCATGGACACCCGAAGTGGTAAAAGTGGACGTAAAGAAGAAGAAAAAGAATTTACAATTCTGGTTCTGAGGCTTAGTAATCACATTTCAAAAAGCCTGAGAGCTAGGGTTTGATGTCTACAGCAGGTGGTTTAGAAAAAGACCATTCTCTTTGATTCTGGAAAGTTATAAGGTGCATCATGGAGGAGGTTTTGACCACCATATAATATTCTTAATGAGGGCAGTGTTTGCACTGCAGCTAACTGCCTTTGTGGAGATGTCACAAAATCTTATATAATTCTGTATTGTCCTCTGATTTATCTTATTTCAAGAAAGGGATGCTCAGCAATACAGTTTTCTTTTTATGCATGTTTATTTTTGATTTAGCAATACTTGTCTTTAAAAATCTTAACTGTTGGATTTCATATTAACCTAATTTTCATATCATATGATTATGTTCTTAAGTAACAGTTTTAAGCACAGTAAATAAATAGGCTGCAACATGGTGGGATAGAAACACCTTTTGACACATCAGCATGACATTGGGACTCAGATTAAATTTGGATGACCACTACAGTTGTCATCAGTCTTTAATACCACATGTCTCTAGGTTACCAATTGCTTAACTGTCTGATCAGTTCTCTGCACCTCTGTCTGTCAGAGGCAATGGACTTGATGTTTGTATATATGGGGCCTGTCCATTCAGCAAAATGTTGCATCCCATTCATTCTTGGTCTACTTCTTCTCCTCCTCCAAGCCTTATATGAGAGGCCAATAGATATTTTTATATGTCTGTACCATTGCATTTACCTTTTGTTTCACTGTTATCAATCCATTAGAAGGATAACGTAATCATCCCATTGCAGATGCAGTGTTACACTGTACATTTCCTGTGAAAGTGCTTAATGAAATAGTTTTTAGTACCCTTCTTTTCTCATTTCTGTCCCAGATAATTTCCAGCAAATTATCCTTAACCTTGAGGTTTTGAGGTACAGATCAACATCATGGCATACGTGTATAACCCATAAGTGCTCCGTTCTTCTTCTCACGTCTGATTCCAAATAATCCCAGCATAGTGCACAGGCTCTGTAGTATCGGCGAGGATCCTAAAATACTTTGAGTAGATTTTTAACTCTAGCTTTTGCTTGGGCAGTGCCTTTAGGCTACTCTTTTCGATTTTCAACTGACAAGGGATTTTTTTAACGTGCGCAGCAATGCACACAGGCGTCCGATCTCACTACCCAGAGACCAGGGGAAATTACTACAAGTCTTAGGTCCACGTAAAAAAATCCCAGCCCATACCGGGGATTGAACCCAGAACCTCTATCACTCGAGGTGGACACCATGCCTTAAAACCACGCAGCCCCCTTATATACTTAAACCAATTTTGTGCTAATGAGTATTGACCCACTGTTTAAAATAAAACATATATTTATTTCTGTAAAACATTCCACCAGCATTCTTAACCCTTGGGGTTGATTGCTGCTGATACCAATCTGCATCCATTATATCTGTGATTGACCTTCTCTCTACAGTTGATGACTCCAGTTTTTATTGGTCTGCCTGTATACATCCTCTCCACTGTCTTCTTGGTCTCCCTCATGGTCTACCTCATGATCTGCTCCCATTCAGCTCTTTTGTGTACGCAGTTTTTGTCTCTGTATTACCAGCCATTCTCTCTAAGTTCCCCAAACATTGCAGTCTATTAGCCCTCAATGATGCCATTAATAAGCTGTGATTTAAGCTTATTATGCATTTCCTACTTGCTTCATTGGAAAACTTGAGATAATAAATGTGCAGGTTTTATTGAGTACAAATCTTCACATATAAATTAAACCAGGCTTTTGTACTGTACTGTACTTACTGTTTGATAAATTGCTTTTCTCCATATTGCTGATATTTGTCACTGTTCCGATTGTGCTGTTTCAAACGAAATGCAGTAATTCAGTTTTTAACATCCACAGATTCCTGCCACAATAACCCGAATTCTGCTGAACCATTTTAAATGGGACAAGGAAAAGCTAATGGAAAGGTGTGATATAATACGGTTGCTTTTAAACAAGTCAAATATATATTCATGATAATATTACATTGTTAGAGGGAATTGGCTGACCAGTGATTACTCTATATGGTTCTAGTTTTGTAAAGAATCACTTTTGAGTGTGCAGGAAATTTCTTGGGAAGTAAGGTGCCCAATATGTTGTTCACATCACTCATCTGTATGTGTGTGTGCATGTGCTTGCATGCGTCTTTCTCTGTCTCTGTCTGTCTGTCTGTCTGTCTGTCTGTCTGTCTGTCTGTCTGTCTGTCTGTCTGTCTCTCTCTCTCTCTCTCTCTCTCTCTCTCTCTCTCTCTCTCTCTCTCTCTCTCTCTCTCTCTCTCTCTCTCTCTCTCTCTCTCTCTCTCTCTCTCTCTCTCTCTCTCTCTCTCTCTCTGTCTCCAGCAACATATGCCTAATGCAACAATGGCATTTAAAGGGTCCCTTACTACTTTTTAGTTTACTTTCACAGCACACAGATATCTCATAAGTACTCCTGTCTCCTCATATAGATTGGACAAGGATAATCTCAGCTCCGTGCATGAACTCTGCAGAACTATCTAGGATCCTGGTGTCTCTTCCTTTTTGTGTGTGTGTGTACTCCTGGAATGCCTCACAGTATAAAAGCAAGTATAGTTCAATAGTTCTGTGGAAAGAGTCTTTCTGTTCACTTTGTTTATACAAGCTTGTAGCACTTTTCAGTGTCTCCGAAATTTCTCCGGTCCATATTCTGCGTGATCTACCTCTGACTGTGATCACTGTATCTGTATCTGTGATGCCTTGTCTGTTGCTAGTCTTTCTACCTGGCTACACCATTTGATCTGTTGTCTGCCAATAGAGTTCAATATTAGTTCTGTGCCGACTCTTCTGGTATCATCCATGTGTGTAAACCAGAAAGACACATGCTATAAATATCTTTGTTTGTGTGTGTGTAGCTTGTGTAATCTGGAAATTTTGCCAAGATTGGCATATTTGGTCTGCTGCTTTTGATTCCTGGCTGCCATGAAATAAAAAAAAAAAATGTGTTTTTGGGTCCTCAAATTTGTTGGCCCTTGTCCAGACAGGTTAGGGTGAACTAACAAGATTTTATTTTCAAATGGTTAAGAATTGGGCACACAGGTCCTTTTAAAAAGTTTTTGCCTACTGCTTTCCTTGGATCAGCAATTCCATAAATCGTCCTTTTTCTTATTTTGTAAACAATCCAAAGTATTCTCGCTGGAAAAAAAAAAAGTCTTCTTGAATCAGAGCCTGATGCTGTAACTGCTGATGTACTCTATTCTCCCATGTGTTATTCATTCATTCATTCATGTTGGCAATTTCATGCACTGTATTGTCAGCCGTGAAGTTTAAAGAGTTGAATGGGAGGAGACCACAAGGTAGCCCAAACGGTGGAGAGATGACATACAGGCAGACTTATAAACACTTGGAATTCCTTTATGGGTTTCGGGGCTCAGTTTACAGCCAATGAACAAGAATAAGAAGAGGAAACATAAGTCACCAACTGGAAGGAGAAGACCAGTTACAGAGATAAATGGAGGTAGGTGATTTCTACACCAGTGGCTCCTGCATCAGAGCATGGAGCATGAATAGGTTAGACTTATGTGCTAGGATGTCACTACAGACAAGTAACAAGATATCTGCAGTAGTGAACCTCAGGGAGCACTGTCGGCTGGCTGACTGTGGTACCATTGCCTGTTCTACAGTATCTGTCTCACAACAGAACACATGCTGTGCTTTGTCAGAGCCAAAATGCCTGCTTACCTCTTGTTCTTAATGTCATATGATATGGGATTGAACTTTAGTTTATGCTAATAAAGTCTGAACAACTGCTTATTTACCAACAACAGTAACATATCAATTTTCAAAGCATAAAGAAGACCTAGATAAAGATTGAGTAATAGAAATGATGTCAAATGATTTAGATAACTCGAGAAGCATCTTTACCTGCACATGATTTGATTTTTGTCTTCATAGGTATTATGGTGGAGATCAAGATAAGCTTTTCTTAGAAGCACATGTTGTCAGTCCCCATCGTCGTGACACAGGCAAAGTAACACGGGTTAGTATAAAACTTGAGCTACTTGTCTGTATCATATAGGGAATGTTAAGGTATCATCAAATGTAGCATTTGTGGAAAGTAATACATAGAAGCCCATTTTTAAAATAAGGTATATTGGGATAATGATGTTATCTCTCTTCCTACAGTTACCTCAGTGTTGTGTGAAGATGTAACAATCTTGTATGTGCTCTTTCTAATGCAATACTAGTCGTGCGGTTCTTCATTTCTTTAAGACTGTTCTCACTGCTAAGGTTCCATCTTTTGTATTGTCTTCTGTGTTCATTATATTTCTTTAGTGTGGTTTTCTGGGACACATGGTACCAGGGCATTCTCATCCTATAGCCAAATAGTGCTGTGCTGTCACAGCTCCCATTTTTTATCTTGAACTCGATAATTGCTGACTAACAATTGCTGCAACATTTGTAATGAAGGCTTTCGTTATTGACTAGACAAAGAAACTAATATATGTGACATAATTAAGAGTAATTTATTTAGTTTATTTTACTATTTATTTACTACAGACTTCAATGTATAACTACATCTTCTTTTTTCGTTTGCCTGAAATAAGTTGTCTATATCAGCAATTTTGTCTCTTGTTAAAATTTCACTGTCGTTGTTAGTTCATTCAGTGGTCCATAAAGTTTACTTTTCACTGTTGTTCTTTCTGGCCAAAAGGTTTGCCTTAATGTGTCAAATTCGCTGCAGTCCTGGAGTACATGCTCTGCTCTTCTGGGGCACCTTTCCACAGGTGCACATGGCTGATACACCTATCTTGAATTTTGTGTACATGTGGTTACGTAATCGGTTGTGTTCTGGTCTGTCCATAATAACATAGTTGTCTTGTGCTGGGGCTGGTGGTTTCCTGATCGTTTTAATGATTCTTTTCTTTTGGTGGTTTGTGACTGGTACATCAGGCTGCACTTTTGTTGCACCTTCTCCTGCCAGTTGATCAGCTTTCTCATTTCCAGGCACTCCACTACACAATGAGATGGTATCCACTGCATTACAACTCTTCGCTGAAGGCTGAGTTGTGTTTAGCAGTGTTTGCAATTCTGGTTTCCTAGACTGGAGTGCTTCAAGTACGGATTTAGCATCTGTCAGCATTACCACATACTGTGAGCCAAGATTGGTATTTAGCAGTTTCTCTGTTGCTATCTTGATAGCCTGAGTTTCTGCATCATAGTTATGGCAGTACTTCCAGGTTGGTACACTGGACTTAACCCTAGTACCATCTGGGAATTCTGTGTACACTCCAGCACTACCGTTTCTAACTGCACTTTGTGTGGACCCATCTGTATAGACTCTGACCCATTGTTCTTGTGCGTATTCTTCATCAATATAACTGAGGGTGGCCATTGTACACTATCTTGCTCTTTCTTGTCAAATATCCCTTTCACATTTGTCTGGATTAGTACTGTTAGTTTGCATTTTTCCCTCCATGGGGTTTGTTCCGGAATACTTTTAAGTGGGCACCCAATTTCTTGAAGGTCAGTAGTTTGTGTCTACATATTCTTTTTGCTTGGTGTATAAAGCTGCTTCTTTTTAACCGCCCCAAGGCTAGGTTCTTAAATCTATTTTTCATTGTGTGATCTGGCATACTGAGGAACTTTTCAGCTTGTATTTGCAACTTTGTATCTCTGCATTCTCTCAGTGCCTGTGTTTTCCCAGCTTTCTCAATTTCTAATATGGGGGTTGATTTCATCCCTCCTGTGATGACTCTGAGTGCTTGATTTTGCACTTTGTCCAACTCCTTTAATGTGGTACTAGATGCTGAACACCTTGCAGTTGACCCATATTCCAAGTGTGGAAGTATGCTCTGCTTGTATACTTTATTAAGTATTTTCCCACTGGCTCCCCAGGTGGTTCAACTTAGTTTTCTTAGTATGGCTGTCTTCCTCCTGGCTTTGGTTGCTGCCTTGTTGATGTGTTTTCTGCATGTCAACCTGTCATCAAATGTGACTGCTAGGTACGTGGGCTCTTTATCATCTTTTAGGGGTATTCCATTTATTTTGATGATGCTGGCTTTTTGCTTTGGGGAGAGGGTGAAGAGTGTGGTGCTACATTTGTCTGTGTTGATGCTGACACACCATCTATTCGTCCATGCCTCAAGTGCATTTGTAGCCCGCTGTAGTGTTCTTGTGGCTATTGTTGCATGTTCATTGGTTCACCACAGTACCAGGTCGTCGGCATACATTGCCATTTTGATTCCATTTGGTATCTCAGCAACCAGATCGTTGATGAATAAGAGGAAAAGTGTGGGCCACAGGACACCACCTTGAGGGACGCCTTGTTGCAGTAGAACTTTTAACTTTTGAAACCATCTACATGTACCTGAGCTCTTCTGTTATGTAGATATGCTTTAATCCAATTGTACATTTTCCATTTACTTTATAGTTTCTCAATTGTATAACGTAAAAGACCAGTTATTGACCAAGGTCTAATGTTTAATTTTATAAGTAGAGAACCAACATCACAGCACTATTAGCACGCTGTCCCCATCTTTAGTGCACTCTGTCCCCATCTTAAGCAGCCTATGAATCCCCTACGAAAGCTCTTGGCCGGCAAGAGGGATGAACTTCGTAAGTTGTACCAAATATAGTAACTAAAAATAGCAGTTAGGGGAGATTCCTTATGACCACAGTGACTTCTTTTTTTTAAAGCCATGTTGATGTCAGATTTTCCCATAAGCCCCTGTCATAATGGTCACAGGGTAAGGGTGTGAGTCAACTGGTACATATTTTTATTTTAAAGGTCTCAGAGTATTTATTCTATTCAGTGTTTCACTGTGTTTGTGTTTATTGATTACCCCTTTCATATATCTTTATATATAATTAAAAAAAAACAATTTGAAGTATTAATTAGTTAGTCTTTCCTCTTGTGTCGAGTGCGGCACATAGGGCAGAGGTCATGACTCTCCATGCATGGCGGTTCGTTGCAATCCGTTGTAGGTCTTGGATGTTTGAGTGGCCCATGAGCGAGCCTTCCCTGATGATAGTTCTACGTAGGGTTTTCCTTGGTCTTCCACGAGATCTTTTCCCCTGTGGTGTCCAAATGAGGGCTTGGTAAGTGTGGCGTGCGTAGGCTTCATTGTGACGTGCGGAGCTTGATTGATTGTAACGAGTGTAAAAGTGACTAGGGGTGTCGCAATGTAACAAATGGCATCAACACTTAACATGCCACTGGCCAAGAATAACACAACATGATGAATGCTGAAGCTTTCAAACGTAGCGAACAAGAACTCTCTTTAAAAGTTCCATTTGTGTATTGACAATAACGATGATCAACACAAGGAGAAAATGTGCAGTTACTAATCAAGATTCATTCACCAAAGCTCGCTCGTACATCCATGGACTGATATGTCCTCACGATAGGTCGCAGTCCGACCTTGAGATCCAGACAATCATCTTTGTGTTCAGTACATCCGTCTAAATTAATCAATGAAGGTATACCGGCTTACTGCCGAAATGTAACGTTCACCAGCTTCCTGCTGAGGTCTATCTTGGAATCCGGGGTAAAGCGTCCTCAAGGATCCAACTTTATATAACGTTTGCTTCCGTGGGATCCCGGGGTAGAGCGTCCTCAAGGATCCACACGTCCGTCTCCTTCTGACTTTAAACATCGACTGCAAAGTATACCGGCTTACTGCCGAACTGTGGCATCCCGGGGTAAAACGTCCTCAAGGATCCACCGTGGCATCCCAGGGTAAAGCATCCTCAAGGATCCACACCAAGGCCGGACCCAAACGTCCGCCTTGGTCAAACTTCGACTTTCATCTCCTAGAATACAATTCCTTCACAACCTGACTTATTGTTTTGACGTCTTATTTGCTCACTCAGTACCGGTGCGTTCTGGTGCACATCCGCACGCGACAGTAAGGGAGTCTTGATTTATCCATTCTAAGGGCGTGGCCGACATAGTTCCAGCTGCGTTTTCGTATAAAATTAGACACATACTCTTGCCTGGATTCTTGCCTTATTTGTGTATTTGTTCGGAAATCTGACCATTTGAAATTTCGTATTCTTCTAAGGCATTTATTTTCAAAACTGTCTAATTTTGTGTCTAGAGTTTTCGTTGATTTCCAGCTCTCGCATCCATAGGTTAGTACTGGAATCACACAAGAATTGAAGATCTTGAGTTTTGTGTGTTTGCTAAGTGTCTTTGATTTCCAGATGTTAGACAGTTTATTGAAGGCACTAGATGCCAGTGCTATTCTAAATGGTATTTCTGGTGCGGTATCTCCTGTAGATGACATCTTGCTCCCCAGATAAGTGAATTGAAGTATACATAGTTCAATTATGAAAAAATGTATTAGAAACCGTGTAAAATGGTTGTATTTTCTGAAGGATTTTTTCTGGAGTCATCTCATGGGTTCATGACCAGTTTTTAAGCATTAGTGGGGCAGAAAGGTTAAGTACCTGTAGTTCTTGACTTACATTTTTTTGGCTTGCATATTCAGTGTCATTATGTTTTCTCAGTGTTTGTCCCATCCAGGGCCGGTATCTTTTCCTCATCTCTTGATTCACTGAAATGTTGTCTCCTTAAACTCTGCATTGTGATTTCGTCATGCCATTTAATACCTGCGGTCCCGCATAGGCCTACTAAATGGATATTAAGTTACTTAGTAATTGTTTTAGTCATTATCTATTTCAGTTCCACACAACAATACAGCTTTGAAATGAAAGCTTTATGTTTTAAGTTTGGTATGTTCAGGTTTTGAGGAGGACTCGGACCAAAATGCCATGGACCATGTTATGTGGAGGGGGCACGTCAGGAAGGGAATGAGAATGAAGGAAGAAATTATTGCAGCAAGGATGAGAGTTGAGCATCTGTGAAGAAACAGACTAAACACACTTCCCGAAATCCCATGCTATAATTGTGGAAGATTTTTTTTAAAAATGCGGGCGGGTCTTACTAGTCACACTCGCTATCACCAAGGGCTGTGAGTCCCATGCCTCCTCATTGCGCTATGTAACACATCGTTTGGAAAGATGGAATGGTGCCAGTATGGCATGTTCAGCATGATCCTGTATGCCATTATGTTTTTGATGTTACCACTGTGTCTAGAAAAGGTCAGTTATTAAAAAGTTCTTCTTTCTGAGTATCAGGACTATTTATTTCCACACAATCATTTTTATATTTCAGCGCTCTGGGCGGAATAGTTTTCAAGATGACAGCCTCCTTTGTGAAATTTGTTACTTCACCAGGGCAGTGGAAGTAGGTGGCATCATTATCATTGGCTTATAAGTAATCTAGTTTAGTGTTACTTTGCTGGGTTAATATGTTATTTTATGTAGTATATTATTAGTATCTATAGCTATGTAGCCTTGTGCAAGTTTCAGTATATTATAATCATATGCTGTAACTAGCTTTTTTCTTTAGCACAGCATGTTGGCTTGCTAAATATGAAACTGTTTTGCAACTTTAAATAAAAAAAAAAAATTAAGTTAATAAGGAGTAGACAGTTGAATGGTTTCAATACTGATCTCTCACATCTGTGGCTGCAGGTTTCTGATTTCAATAACATAAAGGATTCTTATCTATTTGTTATTAAAATATATATGCGTAGTCTGAATGGTATGTGTTTGAGTAAGCGGGACTGATTTCCTCAGCTTTTCAAAATTCTTTTAGCATACACAAGCAGTAATGTTATGTGCTGTGGACAAACAACCAGAACTTTTTCGCCAGAGTTTACAGCCAGTGAACACAAAAAAGAAAAAGAAGTATCAGTCAAATGAATGTTCAGAATTTCTTAACATTAAATTCTTTGTTAGCTTGAATAATCTCACTTGCCAGCCACTTTGATAATTAAAATGTGAATATTTTATCACACTATAAACCATACTCTTATTTGTGTTAATTCATGATGCTAACCACATTGATTCATTTACATGTTTGATTCTCTCTAGGATATGAAAGGCCTAGAATGCGGCCATCGTTTCTGTGCCCAGTGTTGGGCAGAGTATCTAACTTCTAAGATTATGGATGAGGGCATGGGGCAAACCATTTCTTGTGCTGCGTATGGCTGTGATATTCTTGTTGATGACAAAAGTGTAATGTAAGTGAATTATGGTCATGAATTTCATGCAATTTTGTACACTATAATTCTGTCTTATAATGGGGATGGTGATCATACACATAATTTCCCTGTTAACACTCAGATTGTGTCTTCATGTATTCGCAATCTCCATGTTAACTCCACCTTTGAAACTCTTCATGTACACATAATTTCTCTGTTAACAGTTCCTCAGATTGCGTCTTCATGTTTACACAATCTTTCTGTTAACTCCACATTATATTGTCTTCCTGTACACATACATTTGCTGCTAACACTGCTTCAGATTGTGTCTTCATGTATACACCATCTCAAGGTTTAATCCGCCTTAGATTGTCTTCATTTATAAATAATTGTCCTGCTAACACTGACTCAGATTGTGTCTTCATGTATACACCATCTCCCTGTTTAATCCGCCTTAGATTGTCTTCATTTATAAATAATTGTCCTGCTAACACTGCTTCAGATTGTGTCTTTATGTATACACCATCTCCCTGTTAACTCCACCTGAAATTATCTTCATGTACACATAATTTCCCTGTTAACACTGCCGTAGATTGTGTCTTCATGTATACTTTTTTTTTAACATATAGGTTGCTATTATTCTTATTCTGTAATATGACATGGTAGACCAAAATCAACATTTTACTTTAAAAGAATGATTTCATTTTTTAAACTCCTATTTATAGTGACTACTAGACCCATATATGTAACACTCAGTGACTTCCGGTCAAAATGGACTCCAGGCACGGTTACTGTTTCGCGCAGAGGCAAATTTTTTGCTTCTGCCTGATGGTGGCACTGTTTCCAAAATCAACATTTTACTTTAAAAGAATGATTTCATTTTTTAAACTCCTATTTATAGTGACTACTAGGCCCATATATGTAACACTCAGTGACTTCCGGTCAAAATGGACTCCAGGCGTGTTTACTGTTTCGCGCCGAGGCAAATTTTTTGCTTCTGCCTGATGGTGGCCGTTGCATTTTTGATCCATTTGTAGACTGGAAGGATACAGTTTCATCACGCCAGCTACTGAGTTGAGTGCATGGCGCGGCCCTGTGAGTTGCGGATTTCATTTGGAATGTTTTTCGACTGTGACCAACGTGGTGTTGTGAACTGTAGATTCAGAAAATGGCGGGGGCGACTTATGCTACCGTCGATGATGAACTGCATTTCTAATGTCAAACTGTTTGTGTTAGCACTTCTGATGGCTACCGTATGCTTTTAATGCGTGTGTATGCTAGTACATATGCTGAGACAGCAGTCTGACAATCTTTCCACAAGGGACTGCTACGAACATTATGTGTGTTTTTCATTGGCACAGGAGCAGAGCAACTATGGTCACTTTAATGCGTGTGTATGCTAGTGCATATGCTGAGACTGCAGTCTGACAATCTTTTCACAAGGGACTGCTACGAACATTCAGTGTGTTTTTTGTTGGCACAGGAGCGGAGCAACTATGGGGTGACTCATTTGCTATGAAGCTGAAACTAAGATTACCAAGATTACTCAGTGTGATAATTTCAGTTATAGGAAGATGTATAGATTTATGGCATAGACAAGACATGAACACATATTTCCACTGTCACTATGAGTATAAATATACCACTGGAGATAAAGATAAACAGAAACAGTACTTTCATACCAGATGTAAAAAATATACCCCCCCAACCCCTTCCCCACATCCCATTCTGGGCATTAAGTTGAAGTCTGCTGACTGTGAAATACTTAAAACTATTGAGGAAACATCAACATAGTCCAGTTCTCTACCAGTCCATATGGTCTGACACACACCATTGACTTCTGGGCTTGGAGATGTAGTGAACCAAGCCTCACAGACACATGGTAATAGTACTTCTGTACTACACTGGGAGAAAAACACCAACCTCACTCCAGTCATTGAGTCAGTCAGTGAGTCAAAACCACCTGAATGTCAGTGCCTGAGACTTTCAAACCTTGCTTTCCAGAGGATTAACCAGTAACCAACTTCTCCACATAGTCCAGCAAGAATAGTCTCTTGTATCTTGCTTTTAGTTTTGAGGAGAATTATAAAAGTAAGCTTAAAAGTATTTGTGTTTCTGCCTGTTTGGCCTAACTTAAAGTTTATATTTTCTTTTCCAGGGAAATGATAAAAGACCAGAAAGTAAAATTGAAATACCAGCAAATTATAACAAATAGTTTTGTAGAGGTAAGTTGCTAACTGTCTGCATCTGTGCATTGCGAATTTGCTTCATAGTTCCGAGGTGACTGATTTGACTTCAGCTGCAATCACATTTTTTTTTTGCTTTTTTTAAAAAAGCTACTAACTTTGGTTTTCTGTGAATTCTAACAGATATGGGAAGACAAACTAAAAACCATAGGTTGTTTATTTTTTCTGTCATTGAGTAAAACAGTTCTTTAAAAAAAACATTGATTTTATAAATTAAGTTTGGTTTTGATTAAGGATCACACTGCCATTGCACAATTTTGATTTCTGTTTGTGCCCCCCCCCCCCTTTTCCCCCACCCACTCAATCCCGTAGCTGTACCCTGAATGATTTGACAACTGCTGCTTTAACTTATGTATTATCACACTACTTTCAATTTGTAATTCATTCACATCAATAATTGTTTAATATACACTCACTGAAATGGGAAATAGATGGATTGAGGAAATGAGAGCGTCCATGAGGAACCGAATGTTGGCGAAAGGACCTAAAGGTGCTAAACTAGATTGCACAGGATAGTATGGTTAGTTGCGTATCCTTTACAGGACGTTGCAGGACCAACCCCAATAGATCCTGGCTGTTGTGGGGTTTTTCTAGGCAGATTTACGTCCAGTAGTTTATAGGGTAGTATAGACTGGAGAAATAGACTGCTAGCCCTATGTGACATATAATGGCATGAATGGACAATAGATGAATAAAATACAGCAGCTTTAACTATTCTTTTTTTTTATGATGACTGACAGATCTTTTCATTTCTCAGTGTAACAGGTTATTGAGATGGTGTCCAGCCCCAGACTGCGGACATGCAGTTAAGGTGGCCCACCATGACGCAAAGCCAGTGACCTGTGTATGTGGCCATACCTTTTGGTAAGCACACGAATCTAGTTAGTGCTTTGTATGATATGTACGTAAGCACACATACACACACACACACACACAGCAGGGAGCAAGAGAATGAAGTTAAAAAGATAGGGACAGTTGCGAGCTGCATGCAGTGGTAAAGAATATGACGACTTGATTGAGACCCTACTCTGGTGGAAGATAAAGTGCAGAAAAAAAAATGGGCTAACTTTATTTTCAAAGGGTCACAAATTGGGCACGCTGGCCCGTTTTACATTCAGCTCTTCCAAAATCTCATCTTTCAAACTGCAGTTTTGTCTCATCAGTAAAGTATGTTTTGTTTGTATGG